TCTTTACATTTAAAGGTGATGAATCAAAGGAATATGAAAGATAGCCGGAATAGAGATTCATCTCACTATTCTACTACAACATAAGAGAAATTAAGCAAAGACAAAATAAATATAGATCACACGAGTTGGAATATATTAATTAAGATTGGACTCAAGAATAGAGCCTATTAAAAGATTAAGTATCAAATAAGAAAAATCTAAATCATACGAGAGAAAATATATTCAATACTTATGGTTTGCCGCTCAAGATCGCTAGAATACATGTGGCATGGTACTCAAGATGCTAGCTAGAATTAATTTAGTTTCAATTGGACTAGTATAATAGGCTTGAGAGTTGAGACTTTAGGTTTTAATTACTTGTTGGCCGTAAATGTTTTCACAATCACAAAGGCCAAGGAAAATTGATATTTTGTTATTTTTAAAACTTGATATATAAAATGTATTTTTCTTATCTAAAATTATTTGGTACATTTCGGTATTTTTTCAGTTTATTTTTGTAAAATTAAAAACCTACCATAATTATCGGTACGGATATAAATTTATATAAAAACCTAAAGTTTATAAAAATAAACCCAATAATCGATACGATACTGCTCGATTTAGTTGGTTTTTAGAGATCCATTGACATCGCTACTAGTTAATGTTAAGTGTTAAATGACCAAGTTCCATATGTCAAGTTAAAATACGAAAATTTTAATTAGGGGTAGTTTAGTTAAATTATTTATTCCCTTTTTAGGAGTTTATATTTTCTTAAGATGTGTTTAAATGGGTAGTAGGGGTTTCAATGGTTCGGTTCTGATGGTTATTTTAAAAAATTTGAACCATACCAATTTTTTGGCTATTCTATTATGTATAAGCAAAATTAAACTTTTTGAAAACGTCCCAATCATGTTGGTTTCTTCGGTATCGGTACGGTTCGGTTAATTTTCGGTATTTTTTAAAATGTCATGTAAAAGTCACTAGTAAAAGTAGAATGCAATAACGTGCATACTTTTATAGGACTTAGCAAAACTGTCTAGACAGTTTTACTGTTTAAATGGTTGTGAATTATGAAAATATAAATATCACGACCCAAAATTCAACTAGTCGTGATGGCACTTAACCCAACCCGTTAGGTAAACCAATTACCAACTATCCAATTTCAATAATAATTATTAAAATAATTTAAGTGAATAAAGGTCTTAATTTTATACAATCCCCAAGAACTTGTAGTACAAATCATGAGATTCTAAGAATAGAGTTTACAAAGTAGAAATGAAATAAATACATAGTCTGTTTGAATAGTACATAAACAGAACTTTTATAAATCTAAGGCTACCATGAACAAGAGGCAGCTACAACAGGAACGCAGGTACATCTTCAAATCCCGCAACCATCGAGCACAACAATAACAGCAGCCAACATTTGCATGCAATGTGCAAAAGTGTAGTATCAGTACAACCGACCCCGTGTACTGAGTAAGTAGCAAACCTAGCCTTAGGTTGAAAGTAGTGATAAGCTTCTACTAAGGTCGGGTCCAAAACAAATAGTCCACAACAGTCCATAACAGTATAAAACAAATAATACCAGAAGTAACTCAAAGATAAAATGCTTAGCAAAATCATGATTTCAAAAATAATAGTTCTCCCTTTCAAGTACATCAGTGAAAACCCAAATTGTTTACCGAAGTTGCCAAAAATATGAATAAGTTTGAAAACAATAATTTTTCCCAAAAATCCTTTCAATAATAATTGAGATGTTTCATTTTTCTTCTATATAACCCGTGTAAAAACAAATGCATCATTATGCCCATCTCTCAAAAATATGTAAAAATCATCAATGATGTGATGCAGTACAGCATGAGAAAAATACATCTCTATGCATGTATGTCATGTGTGCATGCCAATGCGATGCAACTCAATGATAAAATCATAAATAGCCCCTCGGGCAGACCTCACAATCACTCATATACAGCCCCTCGGACTTACCTCACAATCAATCGTAAACAGCCCCCGAGCATACCTCACAATCACCCATGCCTCCCAGTCACTCAGTACTCGGCACTCGCACTCAGTAGGTACCTGTGCTCACTGGGGGTGTGTACAGATTTCGGAGGGGCTCCTTCAGCCCAAGCGCTATAATTTGCGCGGACAACTCACGTGCCGCACGGACAACTCACGTGCTATAATAATATCTAGATCCGCACGGATAACTCACATGCCATAATAAGCCAATAAGGCCTGCTGCAGGCGGGCAACCCCGATCCATATAATAGTAATAATATATATATATATATAACCAACATGGCCTGTTGCGGCGTGCAACCCGATCCCAAAAAAATATCCTCACAATCAGGCCCTCAGCCTCCCTCAGTCATAAATCTCTCCAATCACTCTCTCTCATGGGCTCGCAATATCATGAGAATAGCCCAAAAATGATGATATAATGTATCAATGAATAACAACAGAGATTGAGATATGATATGTAATGAAATGAATATGACTGAGTATGAATTTTCAATTTAAAACAAATAATTTACAACAATATGACCTCTGCGGGTCCCAAAATACTGGCACATAGCTTCATATGCTTTTCAGCTCAATTTCTTTGACACATAAAACCGCATGGAGAATGCAAGGATTATTTAACTATAAAATTCCACAGAAATAATTATGTCATAATTTATATAGTGCACGCCCACACGCCCGTCACCTAGCATGTGTGTCACCTCCCAACGATTCACATAATACATATATTTACGGTTCATACCCTCAACTCCAAGATTAGAAGAGTTACTTACCTCGAACAAGCCAAATCAAATGCCGAGCAAGCTAAACAATGCTCCAGAAAACCCATTATGCGCGTATCCACTTCCAAACGGCTCGAATCTAGTCACAATTAATTTGATCCAGCCCACGAAAATTATAGAAATTTATACTATATCAAAATACTAATATTTTTCAAAATATCCGAAATTACGTCCCAAAAATTACCCGTGGGGCCCACATCTCGGAATCTGACGAAACTCATAAAATACGACAACTCATCCAATTACAAGTTCAACCATACTAATTTCACTCAAATCCGACTCCAAATCGGTATTCAAACTTGAAAAATTCGTTTCGTGACATTATAGAAATTTCCTTCTATTTCTCTTGAAGATTCAATAATCTTACACCAAAAATGAAGATTAATTCATGAAATATAACCACAAGGAAGTCAAGAACACTTACCCCAAGTTGTTTGAAAAAATTCCTCTCCAAAATCGTCCAAACCGTGCTTCAAAATCCGAAAATTGGTGAAAATGTCGAACCCTCAAACTTAAGGATTCTGTCTAGTCGATCCGCACCTGCGGACAAGATTTGTGCACCTGCGCCTCTGCTTGTGTGAGCAAAACGTCGCATTTGCGGACTTCACTTGCATGCCCAGTTTTCACTTCTGCGAGCAACCGTCCGCATCTACGCTCACGCAGGTGCGAAATTTTCCCTCGCACCTGCGACCAATGCCTCACAGCCCTCTGCCCGCATCTGCGCTCCTTCTCGCGCAGGTGCGATTCCGCACCTGCGAAGCTCTTTCCGCACCTGCGCACCTCGCTTCAACGCACCCCTGCTCGCACTTGCGAGCTCGCACCTGCGACTACTTCTCCGCAGGTGTGATTACACCAGAAGGCTTCAGTTCCAGCAGTCTTCCAAATTTAAAAATTAATCCGTTAACCATCTGAAACTCACCCGAGGCCCCCGGGACCTCAATTAACTATATCAACAAGTCCCGTAACATAACACAGACCTACTCGAGGCCTCAAATCATACCTAACAACATCGAAACGACGAATTACACCTCAATTCAAAATCAACGATCTTTGAACTTTTAAATTTTATGTCTTGTGCCGAAACACATCAAATCAATCCGGAATGACTTCAAATTTTGCATACAAGTCACATTTCATATTATGGGCCTATTCCAATTTCCAGAATCAGATTCCGACCCCGATATCAAAAAGTCAACCCCCCCGGTCAAACTTTCCAAAAATCTAACTTTCGGCATTTCAAGCCAAATTTCACTACGGATCTCCAAATAATTTTTCGGATACGCTCCTAAGTCCAAAATTACCATACGGAGCTATTGAAATCATTAAAACTCCATTCCGGGGTCGTTTACACATAAGTCGACATCCGATCACTATTTTAACTTAAGCTTTAAACCTTGGAACTAAATGTTCCAATTCATTCCAAAACCTCACCGAACTCGAACCATTTACCTCTATAATTCACACAACAACTGTAAAGTATAATTTGAGTAGTAAAGGAGAAAATGGGGTTGTAATACTCAAAACGACTTGCCGGGTCGTTACAATAAAAGATGGGCAGAGTATAGATCCATCAACTACTCTATCGCTGCGTAAAAGAAATTACGCAAAGACAAAGAAAAGATAAACCACACAAGTCAAAAGATATTAACCAAGTCGAGACTTAAAAATAAAGTCTATAGAATATTAAATACTCAAAAAAGATAAATCTAAATCATACAAAATGAAATATATTCAATACATTGTAGTTTGCCACTCATAATCGTTAGAATACTTTGTGTCTTCCTGTTGAATATGCTGGAAATAATTTAGTCTCAGTAGGAGTAACATAATAGGTTTGGGCATTAGGATTTTGATCTTAATTACTTGTTGGCTTGTAACAATTTTTATAATTCCATGACCCAAGGAAAAATTTAGTACTTTATTATTTTTAACTTAATATATAAATATATTTTTCATATGTAAATTTATTCGGTACGGTTCAGTATTTTTTCGGTTTATTTTTATAAAATAAAAGACATACTTTAATTATCGATATGGTTGTAAATTTATATAAAATCCTATAATTTTATTAAAAAAAATCTAAAAATCAGCACGGTATGATCGATTTAGTCTGTTTTTAAATATGAGACCGTTAATGGATAGTGGGCATTTATTTTGAACTGAAGGGAGTATAACTTTTAATTTGGATTTGTTTTATTTTATGGAGTAATATATTTTCAGCTTCTTTATTTTTTTCTCCAGACAGTCCATAACCTCCTTCCTGCTCAACGCCACCCACATGGTTCGTTCCATCTTCAAATCGTTTCTAAATCTTACAAAACCCGTCGCTACCATCTCCATACTACCACCTCATTCAATCTCCATTCCTACCACAAATCCAACATCAAGAATCTACCTACCAGTTGGCAACAGAATTCAACAATCATTATTTAATCCACCCCTTCAAATTCAAGAATATGGGTCGGCTAAATACAGCACCAATAATAGCAATGGAACTGTTGATACGGGTCTTGTTGGTGGGAAAGAATACTTGTTGATGTCAGATGAGGAGTTGATGAGGCAATGCGAAATGGACACTTTCAAGGCTTCAGGTCCAGGTGGACAACACCGCAACAAGCGTGAATCTGCTGTTCGTTTGAAGCATAACCCTACTGGGATTGTTGCTCAGGTTTTAGTTTTTATTTTTTTGGTGAAAATTTTTATGACCCATTTTTGGATTTTGAACTGAAATTTGCTATTTTTTTTGGGTATTTGTGTGTTGAGTTTAATTTCTGTGCTTGGAACGTATGAAAAATATTGAATATTTTAGAATAAATGATAAGTGATCTCATTTAACAGGTTAAATTATACTGATGGTGTAAAAAGTTCATTTCACTGTCCGTGTATATAACTTAAATCCTTGTGTATTTGGGGTTCATTTTAGGCTGTGGAGGATAGATCCCAACACATGAATCGTGCCTCTGCTTTAACTCGTTTACGAGTGTTACTGGCTCTTAAAGGTATTCATTTCATCACTTAGTTGTTTCCACTAATATCAAATTACAGATTTGCTCGATTATTTTAAACATTGCATTTTAACATGGTTTGAGGTTTCATATAACTGATCCCAACTTGTTTGGTACTGAGACGTTGTTGTTGTTGTTGCTGTTGTTTTATTTGAAGATTTCTCTATTAGAGTTACTTTTCAACCATTACTTTAATATTTGCTCCACAACCAGTGATTTATTATACAAGTCAAATTAAAATCTTAAACTCTGTGCCATGTCAAATGCATTGTACAAAAAGTGAGTACAATTTTTTGTCTAATCAGCGTGTACTATTTCCTTGTACCTCTAGTAACTTTGAGTTCTGTGATTAAGTGTGCGACGTGGAATTTTAACTGTATCAAGTGAGGAGCTTGGAGTGCACTGTTGAGTTAGCAGAGTTGTGCCGGGACAACTAGTTGTACTTATGACACCCAAATAAAAGAGCTAGAGCAGAGGGAGACCTACCTAATACACTGCACTAGAGAGGAGACCTAATGAGAAATCGTGTACTATTTCTTTTTCTTGGTGAAATGCGTCCACTTTCCTTGTTTTGAGGCAGATTTTTTCCTCGCACCCACTAAACCATATTTCTGAAATTGGCTTGTTTAGGTGCAAATTCCCAGATCTTCAGAGCTTTAGTGTCTTGAGTTCTATGTTGCCACAAAATAGAACTGAAAGGCTTTACGGGTTGGCCGTTGACTAGGAATATAGAGAAGCAATAAAAGAAAGAGACAGGGTTTCCTAATGGATGAATGGGTGAAAAGTTGTTGGAAAATAAGGGTATTAATACAAAGATAAAAATAAGCACATAACTGTGTTATAGTTGAAACCACACCTTATTTGATGGAAATTTCTCAATTTATCTTGTGCCACTCTGGAATCGGGCTGCAGGCTTACTTTATATGTTTAAGCTCATAAGCATAATGTTGATGCGGCTCTACATCTAGATGATGATCTAGAAAGCTTACGTTTTTATTATTTTCATCTAGTTAGGAACAACATCGATCTTGATACATATACACCTCCTCAAGAGCTGCTTCAAATTCTTCCCGCTAAATCAACAATCAGGGGTTCAGATTGCGGCCCGCAGATTGGACCAAAGAATCCTAAGTTTGCTTTGGTATACTTTTCCTCCTTCATGTCTTTGATAAAATTTAAATCTTATGCAAGATGTTTACTTTATGTTTCTTCTTTAATCCATAGGGAATGCAAGCTTTACTAGATCTAATTTTTGCTGTTGAGGGCTCGGTAGCAGATGCTGCTAAGAAGTTGGGGTATGTATTTGTGTAATTTGCATCAAACTGTTGTTGATGTTTTGGCGGATGCGCTTTTGTTAGTGGGTCAAAAGAAACTAAAAATAATAAGTAGCTATTTTCTAGCAAAGTAGCTCAAACTTGTTCCACTTACTAGTTTTACTATATCTTTCCACTAGGTTGGGAATTCCATATATCGTTGTTTAACAAGTCAGGCTTCCTGCGTAGATCCCTTCAATCTCGTACCGTAATGTGGGCAGCAGAGTGCTTACTATACATTTGTTTTGCTGAACTTTCTGGCAGGTTGAGCACTGGGGCTTTATCAAGATTGTTATTATCTGATGATAATCTCAGAATGGCGGTGAACGAGTTCAGAATATCCAAGGTATGGATGCATGCCTTTAATAAATCTTTTAGCTCATAGGTATTGGAACTTGGTTTCTTATTTAATTAATTGTAAGTATATCATTATAATCTCCAGCTCGTACTAAATGTCCACTATTATGTTCTTGTACACGATCAGTTTAAATCACCTGTAGAGATATAGGCATCAGCCTAAAAGTGGAATTGTCAAGTAGGGTACGTAAAGGGGAATTGGAATATCACTGCTGCCGTGTCCTCCATGAAACAGATCTCTCTTCTCACAGTTTGTCTTTGTGTTGGAGAGACACCACATGGTCCTTTTGGGGGTTGGTTTTCTGCCTTTAGAAGCTAAAAACTATGCCAAACTCGGGGGTTTGTTAAGATGAGTAATGGTTAGAGATGGTTAAGGTTGAATTGCATTAGAAAGAGGTTTGTTAGATTATTTAGGGTTCTAAACATATCGACCCTAGGTATCAGTCTTATGTCCTTAAGCTAGTATATCATAATGTTGTACTTTGTCATAGTATTCCATCACTGCATGGTGGTCTTTTAAAACTCTGTAATCTAAACGTCAAGATTATTCTTTTTCTTCTTGGACAAGGATGGATTTGTTTGGAGAATGGTTTGAAACTGTGACCTATATTTACAATAACTCCACAGACTAAGGCAACACGAGCCCACCCAGCGTGGGATGCCTAAACTTCAAGAATTCATAGTAACATTTATTTATAGAATATTTTATATGCAATCTTATGCACAGCTGTATACTACTATAAAATGTAAAGACGTTTCAAGACTATGAAAAGTAACGAAATCTGTATCTTCCCAAAAGTTTTCTGAAAGATGCAGACAGTAATAGGTCATATCTAAGTTGCTCGGACATGGCTGCGGGTGTCCGGTACGGGTGCAGATCTAGAGGTCGGATACTTCGGGATGTAAATTCTAAGATTCGAGGATATGGATCTTAGTACGGATACGGGTGCGGATCCGACTAAAAATAATTCAAAATAAATAAATAATATATATATATATATATATATAAATTATGATAAATTTTGTGGAATACTTACGTACAACTTGTAAAGTGGATTTCTTTTTATTCTCAAGTTATAGACAAGTAAATGATTGATTTCTTAGATAAGGTATGTTATTTTCTTCAAATTTATCCTAGTTGTGGTTCTAATTTTGGGAATCAAATGTATCTGTGTCGAATATTTCCGTATGGTGTGGTCAAGTATCCAAAATTGTTTGACCAGATTCAGTACGGATCCCACACGCACACCCATACTAGTGTCGTGTTGACACGGGTGCGACACCTAAATTACCATGTCGGAGCAACTTAGGGTCATATAACATTTTGTGCTTTATCCTCTTTTTCTCTAAAAGACAGATATGACCACACACCACGCCAAAAAGGAGGGTTTGTCAAATCTACTTCAAGCTACCAAACTAGAAAGGAGAAAATAAGTTAAAACGGGAACATGCAAATCTAGCAACTTGAATAAGAATATATTTTTTATGCTTCTAGTCTTCTACCATTTCAGTATTGAAATTTAGTAACCTATTAAATCTAGAATAATACTACTATTTTTATACTTCCTAGTCTTCTACACACTTGCATAAGTTCCCATTTCAATACTGAAATAGATAATTAATAAGGTTTTTTTGCTGAAAATGTTGTTGTCATGTAAATGTGCAGGGTATGAAGCCTCTGAAATAGGACTCCTTCGTACTATTTGCTCTTCATTTCCATTTGAGATGTCAAGCTTCAGGAGATAATGCTGGAGACATGTTTGAATAAACAATGTCTGCTTAGTGATAATTTTTGTGGAAATGAAGTGTTGCTGCTGATTCTGATATGCTTGGCATTAGGTCTGCTGCGCTGGAAAAGTGCTGCAAGTTTTTATTGTAAATTCCCTTTTCTTCTAGTTTTCTGCTGATTCTGATATAATGGATCAATGTAGAAAAGGATATTGGCTGTACCACATATACGCTGCTTCGGCGTACGTATATTTTTTTTGTTAACTTCTCTGGTTGTCTTATCTTTATGTCAAATTGACAAAAAGAAAGAGGCTATCTTTATTGAATTTTAAAAAGAAAAAGAAAACAAAATGAGATTTGACGTATTTTTTTGGATTTAACCTTTTTTTATGACGGTGGAATTTTTTCTCCCCTGCCTATCACCCTACTCAATGCTAGAATGGTGCATTATCATGACGGTGGAATTTCTTCTAAAACTCAACTTTAATTTCCACTTTCACTTACCTACGTTTCTTCACCCTATTAATTTATGCATACATTCAACGTAACAAAACCTTCTGAAGGTCAAAATCATATGATCTAGTAGATTTTCTTCAAAACCTGCTTAAATATATCACTTTTCTCATTTAAAGGTAAAACCCCTTTTCTTNTTATTATTTTTAAATTTATTTATTTATTTTTATAATGGTGGTGTCCGAACTAGTTTGCATGCACCTTAACTATTCCATTGAAAGCTAGCATAATGCAAGTATCACGTGAATTGTAATTATGCCAAGCAAAACTTAGGCAATTGGGAATAAAATACTGTATAGGGGTAGAACCGAGCTCGATACTTGATCGAGCATCTGGAATAATAGACCAGGCTCGGCACATTTGTAAGAGATCGAAGGTACAGATGAAACCGAGCTCGATATCGAGTTTCGAAATTCGACAAGACCATCAGATTTGCCCTCGAGTTTATCGAAGGCACGACCGATCCTACTTCTAACGGCCTTGAAGAAGAGCTTTGCCAACTCATCCGACAAGGATACGTGATTCTCGCCATTAACCAATCATTATGGCAGAAATCACGGAATTAAGTCAAAAAGGGAGCTAATGGTCTATATAATTTCATATAAAATAATGTCTTAAAAGCCTAATCTCCCTAAATATATATAGAGAGGAAACTGAGTAATTCAGGCACACATTGTAACATACTTCAGAGAACAAGATACTATTTTTTCCAGCTTTGTTCATATTATTCTAGCTTCAATAACATCACATCTAAATTCGAAGTAAGTTAACCTTGCAAGGTTTAAGTTGTTCAATCTGCATAGTTTGCATTTATTTTTCTACTTATTCTTCTATTTTAAATTTGATTTCTCACTTTGTATCAAGTTAGATCACATATCCTTAAAACTGCGTATAAATTCAATTGTTATCTGATTTTGGGGGTAAACAGTTTGGCGCCAACCGTAGGGCTAAGGATAATAGTGATTATTTGATACAAATCTCCATAACACACATTGCTTTACACTTGCTCTTTGAAGTGTCTTTGATTTTAGGCTAAAAATGACAAACTCTCAATTAGCACCTCTACATATCGACAACTAGTCCGGTCATCAAGGTGAGAATAACAACACGGCGCCTGGTAACGCAGGGCCACCCGCTGATGTCGTTGGAATTCGGACCGCGAATCCAATTGATGTAAATTCACATGTGGCCATCGAAGCAAACTTGTCTACCGACCCTGAAAATAGCGTCCGTGGTGGAGCCCGATCGGCAGCTCGAAACACACAAAACATTGAAGAAAACTAGATCAACCTACGCATGATCTTCGAAATGCTGCAAGATTAACAGGTGGCGATAGTTCATTTGCAGAGCCAAACCCAAGCATCGAGCAGGGTAGAACCCGATCCGCCCCAAAAAGTCACTCGCAGAACGGAATCGGCCATGATAACATTGAATGAACGAGAGTCGGAGACTAATTCCGAAATTATAAAAATGCTCGAGGAGCTGACAAAGCGGATAAAATTAGGGGAAAAGAAGATCGAAGCGAACGATAAAAAGGTCGAAACATATAATTCCAGGGTAGATCAAATCCTAGGAGCGCCCCCGATATTGAAGGGACTGAATTCCAGGAAGTTCATAAAAAAACCTTTTCCTCCAAGCGCGGCCCCAAAACCAATCCCCAAGAAATTTTGTATGCCCGAAATACCTAAGTACAACGGAACGAGCGATCCAAACGAGCATGTGACCTCTTATACATGTGCCATCAAAGGAAACGACTTGGAAGATGACGAAATCGAGTTTGTTTTGCTGAAAATATTTAGGGAGACCCTGTCCAAGGGAGCCATGATATGGTATCACAACTTACCTCCTAATTCTATTGACTCATTTGCTATGCTTGCAGACTCTTTCATAAAAGCTGGTGCCATCAAGGTCGAAACCAGGAAATCAGACCTTTTCAAAGTCAAACAGAAGGAAAACAAGATGCTCAGGGAGTTCGTGTCCCATTTTCAAATGGAACGAATGGATCTGCCGCCGGTCGCTGATGATTGGGTTGTTCAGTCTTTCACTCAGGGACTCAATATTCGAAGCTCGGTTGCTTCGCAGCAATTAAAGCAAAACCTGATAGAATACCCTGTCGTTACCTGGGCCGATGTACACAATCAGCATCAATAGAAAATCAGAGTCGAAGATGATCAACTCGGGGCACCTTCGGAGTCTATATATCCCTCCAGGACTCTTGATAGAGCCAAGAGGGACATCGATCGTGAACCAGGATCAAACAGGGATCGATATCGGCCCTATAATGGAGAGCGGAGGAACAGTGGGTCCGGGCAGAACCCCATAAAAAATGAAAGAAGAAATGACCAGGGTCGAAACAATCGGGGGCTAATGACCAAAAACGGTTTTGACAAGCCCACCGGGCCTAAAAAAGCACCGAGGCTATTGGAGTATAACTTTAATATCGACGCAGCTGCCATCGTATCAGCCATCAGGCAAATAAAGGGTACCAAATGGACTCGATCTCTACAATCTGATCCAGCTCAAAGAGATCCCAACCAAGTATGCAAATATCATGGAACTCACGGTCATAGAACGGAAGACTATCGACAACTAAGAGAAGAAGTAGCCCGACTATTCAACAACAGGCACCTTCGAGAGTTCTTAAGCGACCGAGCCAAGAATTATTTCAGTAACAGGGATTCTAACCGACAAACGGAACAAGAAGATACCGAACCTCATCACGTAATTAATATGATCATCGGTGGAGTCGGTATCCCACAGGAGCCAATGTTGAAACGCACCAGAATCTCCATCACTAGGGAGAAACGAACTCGAGACTATATACCGGAAGGAGTCTTATCCTTCAACGACGGTGATGCGAAATGGATCATACAACCTCACAATGATGCGCTGGTAATATCTATACTCGTATATAAAACTAGAATTAAACGTGTGTTAATTGATCCAGGTAGCTCAGCCAACATTATTCGGTCAAAGGTCATAGAACAACTCGGTCTACAAGATAAGATCGTGCCAGCAGTCCGAGTCCGAAACGGGTTCAACATGGCATGTGAAACCACCAAGGGAGAGATAACGTTACCGGTCAATACCGCTGGAATAATACGAGAGGCCAAGTTTTATATAATCGAAGGGGACATGAGGTACAACGCCCTTCTCCGGAGGCCGTGAATCTACCACATGAGGGCAATACCCTCAACTCTTCACCAAGTGCTAAAATTCCCAACCCCAGGGGGGATCAATGATCTCGGCCAAACCCACACCACAATTAAGTAGTGAGGCGGTCGATGCAATAATAAACCCAATGAAGGTCGGGATCGAATCCACAGGGAGTTAGAATATAGGATTAGGTATATATCTAAGTTAATTGCAAGTTTTGGCTCCAATTACACTTACACAAACTTGATTGGTGTTCTATTTCTACTTTACTCTATTGTTTGCAAGTATAAAACTAAGGACGATATTTTTGGTTTTGAGTTTTTTCAAATGATTAAAAGGGACTAGGGTCGTGACTTCTACCTAGGTGATTATCTAATGGGTTGTAAACTCCAGGGCAAATTTGATTAGTTGGGGTCGTGATATAGCAATCATATCTGGGTACTCACTCTGTACCTCTCGGTAGTTTGAGTGATTTTGCCCAATTCGGCTTTCTCAAGTCCAATTGGGTATTTGGACAATACAAGTAACATTAGCTCAATTTGGGTATTACTATCTCTAGGTTTAACCCTTTAATTGGGGCTATCAATTTCTTGAGCTCACCCTAATTTTTTGTTAGCCAAGTTTTCCTAGACTTAGTCTCTCTTTCTCAAGTAGAGGCTAAGTCAAATAGGCATGAATCAATGTTTGCAACCATTAATTCTAGGGTTCAATCATGAACAAGGCTAAATATCACTAACCCAATAAAAAATAAGCCCTAACTTAAACACCCATCAAATACCCACACTAGGGTTGGGTCACAACCCTATCTAAAGATTTAGCTACTCATGAACAGAAATCAAAGAAGAAATTAAGATAGAATGTATATTAATTGATTAGGGAAAGAAAATCTAATGTATAGATGTTAATCTAGTACAAAAATCCTCAAAATAGCAAAGAAAACGGATCAGGTGCTCTTCTCCAACGTCACTTAACCTAAAAATGACAAAAAGTTCTATTTATACTAAGCTAAAAATATTTGACAAAATTACCCCTGCAGAGGTTGTGCGACCGCATAATTCTGGTGCGGTCCGCACATTGAGCTTCTGTGGCCGCACAATTATTGTGCGGTCCGCATTCTTTGGAATTTGGCTTGGAACTTCGGGGCTTCTGCGGTCCGCATAAAAACGAGCGCGGCCGCGCTTCTGATTGTGCGACCGCATAAAAATGATGCGGTCCGCACTCCTTGATTTTGAACTTGAATCCAACTCTCTGATTTTTCAGTCCTGCGGACCGCATAATAGTGAGTGCGGCCGCACTTGATATTCTACGGCCGCACGATTTTGGTGCGGTCCGCACTTCTTCAGCTTTCCCAAATACCATTCTCTGAATCTCCTCTCTGCGGTCGCATTGCTGGCCTTTTTGCCCTGTTTTGGTTCTTGTTAACTTTTGACTCCTTTATGAGTTGATTTTTGACTTCTTTGGCTCATACCCCAATATTCCTGCAAGTAAGCACATTTTGTTAGTTTCTGGGAATGCCTTTAAGTATTTTTGAGCTAAATCGCAAGTAAAATAGAGCAAATAATCGGTCAAAATCCCCACTTATCAATCAAGACAATCTACGGGGAACAACC